TATTTTTCTCCAAAGTCGAAAAAAAAACTTGTTTTTTATATCTCTAATTCTATACAAAGATTTCCCTTTGCTTTAGGGTTTTATTATAAATATATGAACAACATCGTTCTCGTAGTAAATGAATCTTATACCTTATTAAAGATCTTTACTAATTACTATCCTAGACTAAAATTCACAATAAAGGTAAGAGATAAATAAAGGTAGACTAAACTTGTTAAATATGACTTTGATAAAAAAGACAATTATTTAATACATGATTACAAACTCACGTTTTCTTCGGATTATCTGTGAAATAAAATGATGTAAATAAAATGAATGTAAATAAGATCTTGAGAAACTTGGTGAATGTGCAGAGGGGTCGAAATTAAGTTCCACGTATATTTTCTTTTTTTGTTTAAATTGCCTTTTTTGATCGCTAGAAGCCACTGAATCTTTAATATGTAACAATATCGTATATGAAATAACCACTCAGAAAAATTAATACACTCATGACGAGCACTTTTATTTTAATTGTAAAGTTACAATTAAAAATAGCATATCATTGGTTCTTAATATGCAATAATATATTTGTTGTGTTTCTGATAGTTGTGTTTGTTTCAGGCCGATATGTAGGATCGCGTCCGATAAAACTTCGGAAGAGCTCATGGAAACAAAGAAATCTGGAGTCTGTACGCAAGAAGGAGAAGGAGAAGCAAACGTTAATCGGTTTACTTACCGGTCGATGACGAGATGAAATTTTATTTATTATATTTTGATTATTCACCAACAAAGTTACAAATAATCAACCATCTCACACACACACACACACACACACACACACACACACACACACACACATTTGGATTTTTGTTGAGACAAAGGAACATTGTGAATTACGACATTATTTAGTTTCATCGACTATTTTGCAAAAGCATATGCCAATAAAATTATAATTATAAATTTGTTATATATCTCGACTTTTATTTCTTAATATTATTTTTCTGATATGAATCATTGTCATACTTATTATTATTATTTTTTTTTAATAGGTTACAGAATCCCGTATCCTAAAATATCAAATTTTTTATTTACGCACGCGTTATATACCAATCGATAAAGGACAATCAACGCCCAGCGGAACGTAAAAATCGATTGGTGTCTAAACAATCGAAATTTAGATTGAATTAGGCTACATGAAACGATCGACAAAATATGATGAAGAATGGAAAAATCATTAACAAGACCGAATCCGAATGAACATGAAAAACCAGAGGTTGATTCATTGGGGGTACATGAGCAATTAAATATGATTGTTATATTGGTCCTTTTTTTTTTTAAGAATTGTATAACTAGCAAGAAATAATGTTAAGCGTTTTGTAATACACTAATTTATTCGCTATGTTAAAACGTTGTTCATTTATACGAGACATCTCTTGGCGAATGATCGCAGATCTACGAGGGCGAAAGAAATGAGAATGGTGAGAGACATGGAAACGGAAAGACTTTGCTATCAAATGGTGACATGTATGTTGGTCAATATCGTAATGGATTTAGGCATGGCAAAGGAATCTACGTATTTAAAAACGGTGCCCGATATAACGGCGATTGGAGAGACGGACAGAAATACGGGCAAGGGATCTTTTGGTACCCTGATGGAACGCGATACGAAGGTATGGAAGAATGTACAAAAATAGGATCCGAATCAGACTTGAGGAAGTCACACAGTAAACATGTGTCGACACGTCCATATGTATATTCATACAATTATTTTTATGTCGCACGTCAGAAATCTTAGAGATGCTAAGAGTTTGCCAGAAATTTTCGAAAGAGGTAAATACGAGTGACAAGTTGCGACAACTCGAGATCTTCGCTAAGATCAACCTCGATGACACTTGACTTTGATTGGCAATAATTATTCGTTACAGATGAAATTCGATGATGTGTTAAATATTAATCTGCTTAGGGGAATGGATATGCGACGCGAAGCACGGTTTTGGCAGTTATTATTATATGAACAATGACATTTATGAGGGTTCGTGGAAGGATGATTTTCGTCATGGCATAGGAACATATTTATACGCTGACACAGAGACGAAATTTATGGGGACATGGATGGAAGACCGCATGCAAGGACCTGGACAACTCATTCATGCATGTTGTCATTTTCATGGTTTTTGGAAGCTGAATTTGGTACGGAATGAAAACAGAAAAGTAATCACGGCGCGTTGATTATACACATACCTCCAGATCACAGTTCCAAGTAGAATAAGAGCATCTCATTTATAAAAGCCTAGATCAATGCTCCAAGATTTGTAATTCTAAGCATAAACTTGACGTATGTCGGCGCTTATCTTTATCAAGAAAAAAAAAGGCAATAAGTAAAAATATACATCGAACCAATGTTTAGAATTATAAATCTTGAGCAGCATTAATCAAGACCGAAGAAATATATATTTAATTAATAGAGATATTATGCACGATACAGCCGTACGGACGTGGTTGCTTCACTTTTGAAAACGTGTGTATGCAGCATGGTCATTATATACATGTGAAAGATCCCATGTTTGATGACTCAACTTTGATAAACACGGATGAAATCATAGTGGAAGTAAAATTCTCTTAATGAAGTTTTTATGTCGTTTTTTATCCGAGTTTAAATATTCCTTATTTAAAATATCTTAATATATATAAAATATATAATACATATAAATATAATTACATATGTATATATTTAATAAAAAAACA